ATCTACACAGTCTTAATTGGGATTAGAGCAGTATGCAATACTCTTCTATGTATTTAGTGCCTCCCTGCAGGCTCAGCCCCAAGAACAGGTGCATTGTTATCATCATATGAGTTTCCTGGGCACGGCGCTGTTCAGTGACATGGGTGCTGAAATCTGCGATCGGGCCTTTGTTTTAGTTCGCGCTGATGTGGCGCTGTCCATTGTGCTGTATGTTTGCTTGATGGGCACAACAATGAATTCCCGCAGCCTGGTTAGTTACATTTCTTTATTGTACCTGCTCCTTCTACAATTAAGTTGAAATATGCTTGGGTCAGGGTATTCTAATGTGCAGAAAATTCCCTGCATGCTATGTAGACATTTCCTTGATATATTATTATTATTATGTTTAGGCCTACATTGTCCCCTGGGAGGCCTGTGTATTCAAATATTAGGGAATCATTTATATTCTATGAAGTCAACAGGTGAATCACTCACTCTCAGACACACTCATAGACCTGCATCTTCCTCCCAACTCCTTTGTTCAGCTGTAATGATAACTCAATTTCCATTTACAGTGTCCTTTTAATCACATAATCAATTTGGAGTACCCTTTTTCGGCACAAACACTATTTTCACATTTAGAATGTGAATTAGTTGGACTCTAATGCTGTCTTTCTTATTTGATCTGCTTGGTTGTGCTCTGCTCTGCTCCATCCCCTATACACCCCCATGCATGCACTCAAACACCCACACTTGCACAAAGTATGTGAGCTGTTGTATCTTAGCAACAGGCAAGGTAATTACTGAGAGAGCCAAGGAGCTGGCATGCTGGTGAACTGCTGATCTGATCCCAGCCATTGAAAGACAGTAAGGCGGAGATATCTTCACTGTTGCCCAACACAGACTTCTGAGAAGCCATGTTTTCTTTGTTGTTTTTATGGATCTGAATCGGTCTGACAAACATATAAGTAGAGGCTGCCTGCTTTACAGATGATTGCGTTCTGGTAAATGGATAAATGTGCTAACTATGCCCTCCTGGAGTGAGTGTTAATGCACTGTCTTATTATGTCTGTCTGTTTCTTTGTTCACAGGTGCTGAATGTAATGGAGAGAGGACAAATGAGTCTGTTATGTAGAATGGATCCTCACAGCTCCCTGTAAGAGTGGGACAGAGGCATACACCAGGACGTACGAGAGGAGGGCTGCCTGAGGCGGAAGAGTGGCGTCGGTCGGAGAGAGAGAAGGGGTAGAATCACCCAAGCACCCCACCCCTAGAATCACAGAGCTGGAGGCATGTCTAACCAGACCCAGATCTTTGGCATTGATGGCCCAGGCAGCCTGCTGGCAGTGTTGGCCTCACAGAGGGCCAGCAGCATCAGCACCAGCAGCAGTGAAGGAATCTCGGCTGCAGCTGTGTCCGCCTACATCAAGCTGGTGTTCCTGGGCCTGATCCTCTGTGTTAGCCTGGTAGGCAACCTGCTGGTGTCTCTGCTGGTCCTCCGAGACCGGGCCCTCCACAAGGCCCCCTACTTCTTCCTCCTGGACCTGTGCCTGGCTGATGTTGTCCGCTCTGTTGCCTGCTTCCCCTTTGTCCTGGTGTCTGTCCACAACAGCTCTGAGTGGACCTACAGCACCTTCAGCTGCAAGGTGGTGGCCTTCCTGGCTGTGCTCTTCTGTTTTCACGCTGCCTTCATGCTGTTCTGTGTGGCTGTGACTCGCTACCTGGCCATTGCCCATCACCGCTTTTACACCAAGCGCATGACGGTCTGGACCTGCGCTGCCATCATCTGCATGGTGTGGACTCTGGCCATCGCTATGTCATCCCCACCCATCTTTGACGTGGGGACGTACAAGTTCATTCAAGACGAGGACCAGTGCATTTTCGAGCACCGCTACCTTAAGACCAATGACACTCTGGGCTTCATGCTCATGCTGGCCATCGTGGTCCTGGCCACTCATGGTTTCTACGCCAAACTCCTGCTGTTTGAATACAAGCACCGGAAGATGAAGCCTATCCAGCTAGTGCCGGCCATCAGCCAGAACTGGACCTTCCATGGACCAGGAGCCACGGGCCAGGCAGCAGCCAACTGGATCGCAGGCTTCGGCCGGGGCCCAATGCCCCCCACCCTGCTGGGCATCAGGCAGACTTTGCACAACCAGCAGCACCGGCGTCTGATGGGCATGGAGGAGGTGAGGATGGAAAGGAGTCTGGGCAGGATGTTTTACATTGTCACCCTGCTCTTCCTGGTGCTCTGGGCTCCCTACATAGTGGCCTGCTTCTGGAGGGTGTTTGTCAAGTCCTGCTCCATCCCACACAGGTACCTCTCCATCACAGTGTGGATGAGCTTCGCCCAGGCCGGGGTCAACCCAATCTTCTGCCTCCTTCTCAATGAGGACTTGAGGAAAGTGCTGAGGGCCCACCTGCCCACCTACAGCAGGACTAGACAACACCAACAGCTGCCTCGCCATGAGCTGTTGGTGTTCACCATCACATGATGCTCTACTGCAGGGGTGTCAAACATCCGGCCCGCAGGTGGTTTGCATAAAACAATTATTTAAAAAATTTATTTTTAGAACAAGAAATGTGTGGGGGGGTGAAACAAACTCAATATACTTTATAATGACTAAAACCAAATCGAAACTGTGTAGAAATTATAATGGACCTACACTCATACAGTTTCTTGACTGTGTCCAGCTTGCTAATAATCACCGAAATTAAAGCTAGACAGTCAGGGAGCATCAAAAATAAAAAATATTATGGATAGAGGACTATTTTGTTCAAATTTCGACGCAGAGGAAATATTTTAAAAAATTCAGTGCGGCCCTCAGTCTGTTGAAGAGCAAATGCGGCCCCCGGAGCAAAATGAGTATGACACCCCTGCTCTACTGCATTGAGTGATGGTGGTGGGATTGGTGTGTTTTGTTTATATTATACTGAAATGTCTATTTGACATTTTTTTGTAAATATAATGTTTATCAGATGCTACTATTTTTGCAAATGAATTATGACTTCGTTTCATATGTGATGTACATATCACGTGTGTGTGTGTGTGTGTGGACACATGCAGTATGAGAAGCAGGTTTGTAGTAATACTTGGTAATTAACATTATCCGTAGATTATCTCATTTATATGGCTGAAAATGTCAAAACTATTAACAGTGATTTTCTCTAGTTCAATGGAGGCGATTGCAACTGTCACCAAAATAGCATAGGTTATCATCAACTGCAAATGGATAATGAATCTAGATTGGAAAGAATCTCATGTGCATTGTAATGGGACCCATATTGTTATTTATTTTCTTTAACCATCAGGGAACCACCAATATAACCTGGGCAAAAGTATGTGCCTTCTATATTCCAGATAATCATAAAAATCTAATGACATTCACTAATTTAGATAAGAGTAATGTTTGGAATTCAGTGCTAATTATTTGGCTTAAATATGTCTGAACATTCCTTGTTCAAAGATAACACTTTCTAAAGGCAGAGAGCAACAAAATAGCATGCTTTCCAACATCAAGAGTTGCATTTTTTCATGGTTCCCAGACTGAAGTTTGCAAATAATGTTTTGACATTGAAAAAACAACTGAGAAGTGAAATGGGGTTTAGAAAGATTGGAGGGGTCTGGTATTCATCTCTAAGATATCCTGTTGTACAGTATTTAAAGGGGTTGTTTTTTCCACTCACCAATAGTCTACTTTTGCTGCATTTTGATCTGGCTACTGACTTCAGTTGCTATGGGATCCATATTCTTAGCAATTAGAGAAACACAAAACAAATAGAGCTAAACATGCAGTTGGTATAATAAAATATTCCTTTTATTTTGCCAGTTGTACATTCGTAAGAAAAAGGCATGTTTTATTTACAGAAAGATCTGGACCAAGATGACCTAGTAATGCTCAATATACAGTGTAGCTTTTGCCACTGAATGACATCCGTTAGGGAAAGTCTGGGGCAGTACGTATCAAGTATCTCAGAGTAGAAGTGCTGATCTAAAAGGCAAAACTGATCCTAAAATCAGCACTCCTACTCTGAGACACGTGATACATAAGATCTCACAATGGGAAGAGGTCCTACAATTTTGCCAGTCTAACCCAGTGCAACCTCTATGAGGGGACAGTAGCTCCATATACCAATAAATGTGAGGCTTAACACGAGTGACAGGCCTACCGCCTGTAATTAATGGTTTTAGCCAGCCTATTGAATTGCAGTCACAAGAAAGCTCTTTACAATTTCTCTATCAACGGTAGGGTTGGGAATTGCCAGGGACCTCACGATACGATATGTATTGAGATTCTCACGATTCTATATGTATTGCGATTCGATAATGTGATTTTATTACAATTCGATGTTCCAAACATATTGCTCACCATATATCTGCTGCAGAGGGACAAGAGAGAGCCATGAGAAAACCAGTTTTGATCAGCCATGGAAATAAAAGTGTTTAAAAGATATTGGCGCCCTATCTAAAAAGAATATGGAGAACAAGCTATGATGGAAAACTACTGGCATTTTGGTGCAGCCAACTTCAGCAAAAAATTATATTCCAATTTTGTCAAACCTATACGATTTATAGTCAAAAATAATATCCCAATATGTAACTATCGATTTCCCCCCCATCACTAATCAACGGCTCCTAATCCAAATAATGTCATGGAAGAGTGCATTTTCATACATATTAAAAACACACCTTTCAACTTTCACACATGCCAGTTTTGTACAGACAAATTGTACAGCAGATGATTACATCAAATGAAAAGTAGTTCAGCATTCAATGAGAGATCATAGTGTTTATGTTATTTAAATATGGCACACAATTTGATTCTAGTGTTGTATACTAAAACCAAATAACTCTAAAAAACTGCAAACAGGTTAGAAACAAATTAAACATGATGCCCCAACCCTAATGAATAGTGTTTGATGAAAGGGTTGAATATTAAAAGACACCATATATTCACAGTCCATTTAAAATGCCAGAAATAAAGTTTAATTGTCATGATGGCACTAATGGTGTCACACCCCTAAAACAAGTACCCCCTGCAATTGTCATTCCCACACTTGCACTCCATGCGCACACGCTTTTTGGGTGATCCAGACATGTGATCCTTTTTGGGTGATCCAGACATGTGAGTCTTTTTAGGTGATCCAGACATGTGAGCCTTTTTAGGTGAGCCAGTCATACTGAAATTGGAGTCCATCTTAGTGCTCTCCACATCTATTGGATCAACTAGAAAGACAAAAAGAAAAAAGGGTTAAAATGACAGAAGCAATGCAACCCATTTTAAGATATCACCGAATCTACAACCTAAATGGATTCTAAATCTTCCATTAACCTTACCACCAGCTCTATTGAGACATATGAATTAATGTTCCATTTTGTAGGCTCTCAGAAATGTAATTCGACTGTATTTCCATATGTTTTATTTCAGCGATCTTGTGATCTGTGGATATACAGTATGATATATCAGATGAAACCTACTCTGCATATTGTAGTCGAAGGTGAGCTCCTCCCCAGCTCTGATACCACGGTTTGAGAAGAAAGCCAGGCGTGGTAGTCTCTCATCCAGGTTGTCTATGAATACATTGTACACCTGCAGGTTCGGGTTGCACTTTGGGACAGAGGTCAGAAAAGACAAGGTCTAATGATTAAGTGTTCTCAAATGTGAAATGATTTGGTAAGTAACAGGGTTGGGGGTCAATTCCCTTTCAATTCAGTAAGTACTTAACTGAATTGAAATGGAATTGACCCCAAACCAGTAAGTTTCCCTTCCCCCACTCACACTGTGGTTGACAAAGTGGGAGACGTTTCCATAGCGAGCAGCGTCAACAGTGTACTCATCCTCAACATAGTCCAGGTCAAACAGGTATGTTGCTCCCTGTCTGTCATAGACCTGACCCCTCCTCTCTGCCTCCTCTGTAGTGATGATCTGGATAGAACACAATACAGCCAATCACAACAGAGAACAACCATACCGTGTAATACAGCCAGGATACACACAGTGCTGCATGAGATAATAAAAACCACTAGTAGTATGTTGATGTTTGATTGTCAATTGTGACAGCTGCTGGTGATATTAGAAACTGAGCACCAAATAAGCTCTCTCTATAATCAAAGTTGTCTTTCTTACCTCTCCGACATACTCCATGACGAAGGAATGCTTTTTGATACGCTCAGAGGCGCGTACGCCCCACCCCCGCCCGTTGTCTGTTTTGAAGATGCAGAGGGTATGCTGTATCCCTCTCTGTACCACTCTGTTGGGGCAGTCTGGTCCACAGCGACACTTCTTGTTGCACTCATAGATGGGCTGCCCAGGCTTAACCGTCACCTGCCCACACTCGTTGTAGGAAAAGCCATGGCCCGATACTCCTGGGCAGCAACCACCCACAGGGTTCTCCAAACAGTTGGTGCACTCGCACCCCACTGCCACCGTCGTCACCGAAATGCCCTCACCCACCTAAGAGAGAAAATCTTTGATTTCATTATACATATTTATATTTGTACTGTATTGCTGATGCATAATACTGCAGCCTATATACTAGACAGTGATAAAGAGGGTAGCATCACTACAGTTGAAACATGTCTTGGATACAAAGTACTGGTGATTCACAAGCCCTTGCACACCTTGTATCCGTTGATGTAGGTAAAGTTCTTCGGAGGGCCCTCAAGGTCCACACGGTTGCGGACCAGGATGCGTTTGGTGAGGCCCCCGACACTGTTGATCTGGGCCTCCCACCTCTGCAGGCTCTGCCTATGTCTGGCTCTCTGCTCCAGGTAAAAGGATAGCTCTGGTTCAAACCGGTTGGGGACTACAGTCTTTTTCTGTCTCTGCAGCTCCAGGAAGACATCGTCCCAGAACTGACGTAAGAGCTCCACACACCTGAGGTTTTTCCTCGGCTCCCAGGTGTTCATGTGATCTGGGTAACGCTTCCATTTAACCAGGTAGAACTCCCTCTCCTAGGAAAAAAACAGCAGCTGACAAGGAGTCAGACTAAACTCTGGTGCCCCTATGACAAGGTAGACATCTCTTAAGATCACTTTATTTGGCCAACTGTACACAAGGTCCAACGGAAATGTGACTTCTATTTTATCCCAACCCCTCTGAAAGACACACATACACATACAGGTTGGAGCAGGGTTTGCAGGGGAGCATGTCTCTCTCAATTAAAGATGGATGCTTTCAGTGACAGTCAGACATTGCCAGCACTGTAAATTACATAAATTAAAGCTGGATCAATATAATCTCTAGCTACCAAAATCAAACCATAGCATAGCTAGCAGTGGTGTAAAGTATACTAGTAAAAATACTTTAAAGTACTACCTAAGTAGTTTTTTGGGGTAACTTTTACTCCTCTACATTCCTAAAGAAAATAATATACTTTTTACTCCATACATTTTCCCTGACACCCAGAAGTACTCATTACATTTTGAATGCTTAGCAGGACAGGAAAATGGTCAAATTCACACACTTATCAAGAGAACATCCCAGGTCATCCCTACTGCCTCTGATCTGGCAGACTCACTAAACACAAATGCTTTGTTTGTAAATGATGATGTCTGAGTTTAGGAGTGTGCCCCTTGGCTATCCTGTTTTATATATAAAGTATATATCATTTCAAATGTGTTATATTAAGAAAACCAGATGGCACGATAAAAAAAATAATATATATATATATATATATTTAAAAATCGTGCCATATGGTTTTCTTAATATAACACATTTGAAATGATATATACTTTTACTTTTAATACTTAAGTATATTTGAGCAATTACATGTACTTTTGATACTTAAGTATATTTCTAACCAAATTATTTTAGACTTTCTCAAGTAGTATTTTACAGGGTGACTTTCACTTTTACTTGAGTCATTTTCTATTAAGGTACCTTTACTTTTACTCAAGTATGACAATTGGGTACTTTTTCCACCACTGATAGATAGAATTTGTTCTAACCTTTGGTACTCCCGTTGGATTGGCTCTCTTCCTTCCAGGAACAAGTGTCCTCTTGTAGTCACACAGGTACTCCACTTCGAAGTCGTGCATTTGTCTCTTGTTGACCCCCAGATCCAAGCACACAATCCCTTCATGACGACAGTGTGTCTGCAACTGGCTCGTTGTCACTTTACATGCAACTTGGCACTCTGCAGTGAGTGACAAGCCAGTTACACAAAGAACAACACGACATGGCTCGCTCCGATCAGCAACTATCATCATGACTCCATTTATTTATCAACATGTTTTCATTCTGTATGTGCATAGCTAGGTTGCTAAGTATTCATATGCGATGGTAGTTATATTCACTACTGTTTATTAATGAAAATCAAACATGTTGCAGCTAACTAGCTACAAGATTCGACCACTGATTGCGAAATGGGCCAGCTAACGTTAGCTAGCTAGGCTAACTTCGACAAATATATAATAAACTGTGTTGCATCACCATTTTTCTAATCAACTTCATGATATATAATTTTTTTAAAGCGTGATTATCACATAACAGCTGTTACCGAAGAAAAGTAAACAAATCCAACATTTTCTTTAGAATTTGGGACCTTACCTTTTAAATCTTCCGCCATCTTTACTTCACCGCCAAAATCCCAGGAACTCTCGCTAGCCAAAGGTTGGATGGATCCGCTTTTAGAATGACAGCCCAAATGACCAATAGACTTCTAGCTCAAGTGTGGAAAACGAAAATAATTTACACATGGCTAAATAAATAAATAAATATGCCATTTAGCAGACGCTTTTATCCAAAGCGACTTACAGTCATACATTGTAATAAACACTAGCAATTCAACAAAATCAAGCAACTCTGTGTGATGTACTGTGGTTACTTTATTCAGTATATGCATTTCATAAATATATTATAGTAATTTGCAACCAGCAAGACTTCAGTGACAAACACAGGCAAATGCAAATACAAACACTCACAAATGTTTTGAGGTCCCATCATTTTGATCGGTCTTTATTGATCCTGTAGTTATTCTGAATTGTCAATAATGATTTCTATGATGGGTTCTTGATACATCAAAGTCCAACAATAAACATGGGAACCCTTGAAGGCAAATGGGCAAATGCATAAATAAGGCTGTCAATTAGTATATTCCATTATTCTGCTTCATTACTGCTTTACAATAAACAGTTAGCTCTATACCAGGGTGTCATTACAGGTCTTAATCTTGACTCATGCAAGCCTCTCAGGTCCTTCAGTGAGAAGCAGTGCTCTCTTTTCTATGGTGAAAACCTAAAAACTCCACTAAAACCTCCTAGACAACACAGATATCCCTTGATTACCTCACTGCACGTTGTCAGAGTTCATTTAATTTGTACTGTATTTAACATTCTAGAAGTGAAGTTCTAATGGCTTATGGTTGGACAGTAGAGTGGTAGCTGCTTTTTTTCTAGCAGAGAATTGACAGAAGTACAGTGGGGAAAAAAAGTATTTAGTCAGCCACCAATTGTGCAAGTTCTCCCACTTAAAAAGATGAGAGGCCTGTAATTTTCATCATAGGTACACATCAACTATGACAGACAAAATGAGAATTTTTTTTCCAGAAAAAAATCACATTGTAGGATTTTTAATGAATTTTTTTGCAAATTATGGTGGAAAATAAGTATTTGGTCAATAACAAAAGTTTCTCAATACTTTGTTATATACCCTTTGTTGGCAATGACACAGGTCAAACATTTTCTGTAAGTCTTCACAAGGTTTTCACACACTGTTGCTGGTATTTTGGCCCATTCCTCCATGCAGATCTCCTCTAGAGCAGTGATGTTTTGGGGCTGTTGCTGGGCAACACGGACTTTCAACTCCCTCCAAAGATTTTCTATGGGATTGAGATCTGGAGACTGGCTAGGCCACTCCAGGACCTTGAAATGCTTCTTACGAAGCCACTCCTTCGTTGCCCGGGCGGTGTGTTTGGGATCATTGTCATGCTGAAAGACCCAGCCACGTTTCATCTTCAATGCCCTTGCTGATGGAAGGAGGTTTTCACTCAAAATCTCACGATACATGGCCCCATTCATTCTTTCCTTTACACGGATCAGTCATCCTGGTCCCTTTGCTGAAAAACAGCCCCAAAGCATGATGTTTCCACCCCCATGCTTCACAGTAGGTATGGTGTTCTTTGGACGCAACTCAGCATTCTTTGTCCTCCAAACACGACGAGCTGAGTTTTTACCAAAAAGTTCTGTTTTGGTTTCATCTGACCATATGACATTCTCCCAATCCTCTTCTGGATCATCCAAATGCACTCTAGCAAACTTCAGACGGGCCTGGACATGTACTGGCTTAAGCAGGGGGACACATCTGGCACTGCAGGATTTGAGTCCCTGGCGGCGTAGTGTGTTACTGATGGTAGGCTTTGTTACTTTGGTCCCAGCTCTCTGCAGGTCATTCACTAGGTCCCCCCGTGTGGTTCTGGGATTTTTGCTCACCATTGTTGTGATCATTTTGACCCCACGGGTGAGATCTTGCGTGGAGCCCCAGATCGAGGGAGATTATCAGTGGTCTTGTATGTCTTCCATTTCCTAATAATTGCTCCCACAGTTGATTTCTTCAAACCAAGCTGCTTACCTATTGCAGATTCAGTCTTCCCAGCCTGGTGCAGGTCTACAATTTTGTTTCTGGTGTCCTTTGACAGCTCTTTGGTCTTGGCCATAGTGGAGTTTGGAGTGTGACTGTTTGAGGTTGTGGACAGGTGTCTTTTATACTGATAACAAGTTCAAACAGGTGCCATTAATACAGGTAACGAGTGGAGGACAGAGGAGCCACTTAAAGAAGAAGTTACAGGTCTGTGAGAGCCAGAAATCTTGCTTGTTATTAAGTGACCAAATACTTATTTTCCACCATAATTTGCAAATAAATTCATAAAAAATCCTACAATGTGATTTTCTGGAGAAAAAAATTCTCAATTTGTCTGTCATAGTTGACATGTACCTATGATGAAAATTACAGGCCTCTCTCATCTTTTTAAGTGGGAGAACTTGCACAATTGGTGGCTGACTAAATACTTTTTTCCCCCACTGTGTGGTTGGTTGATCACTTCTGCTCCCGCCTCCAGATGATGACCATGCCAGTGGAATCAGCAGAGGCCAGTAAGCTCTCATCACAGTTGAAGCTGACATCCAGCACTGGGCCACCGTGACCCTGCAGCTTGTTGACTATGGCCTTAGTGTTGCGCTCCACATCGAAGAAGTAGACACAGGCATCCTCACTGCCAGTCACTGGCATAAAGAGAGGAGAAAAGGGGGAGAAAAACAGGAAAGAGAGAGTTAGAGAGAGAATACTGGTGTGAACAATCCTATGCTATAACTATGTTATAAGTAAGGCAGTGTGAGTGAGGCTCATACCAACACAGGCGCCCTGTCTGAAGGACATGAGAGGGCAGAAGATGCTGTGGAGGGGCTGGTAGCCATGCTTGATAGGGAAGCTCGTCTTCAGCTGCAGAGTGCCTTCATTATCCACCACTCTATGAAGACGAGAGGAACACAGAACCAGTCAAACTCAACTCAGCATACAGTGCACAGAGTGGATCACACCTTCCTTGTTTATGCAATAGCATACAAGTATGTATGACTGATATTACATACACGTTCCAATGCAAAATGCAGCAGTTAATGAAACTATGACAGTTAAATTCATTTTTAAGTGTTTGGATTATAACTAATGGAGCCTCTGTGTGTGTGACCTGTAGAGTAGCAGTTTGTTGACACAGGCGTTGATAAGCAGGGAGGGGTCTCGGGCCTCTCTGCTGATCCAGGAGCGGGCAGAGATGCTGCAGATGGGACTGCCCTCACTCACCACCAGCCGCTTGGCTTTGGTCAGCTTCCCTGTGGGTCGAAATTCAGAGTTGTTGTTAGACACACACACACACAACACTTCTCTTTCCTATGCTTGTGGCCTAGTACTTTGGGTTTGTGATAAAGCGCTTTATAGATAAAATGATTTTATACTACTTATTCATAAAAAGCAGAGAGGGTTTTCCTCGGTCTACCTGTGGCCATGTCAAACAGGAAGGAGAATATGCTGCCCCTGTCGTCCCCGGCCCAAAGGATCCTCCCAGGGGCATCAAAGGACATAGACAGCACCCGTCCTGTCAGCTTACTAGAACCTCCCTTCACCTTCTTCCCTGTGGAGATGTTTACCACCTGCAGGAGGTGCTTACTGTTCCCCACCTGGAGGACAGAACAGAGGTCAGGGGGTCAGGGTGAGCATTGGTGAAGGTCAGGGAAGCCGTAAGGAAGAGAGTTTGGCCATTGTAGAGACAACGCTTTTACTATGACTCACCACTGTGAGGTTGTTGTTCATGGGCTGGAAGGTGCAGCAGAGCAGTTCGCTGGCCTCAGGGTCTCTGACCTCACGGATACACCTCCCATCCTCCGTGTTCCAAATACGCAGCGTCCCATCCTTTGACGTCGACACGATGACGTCGTTGCTAAGGGACCAAGCGAAGTCAGTGACGGGACCTGCGTGACCCTTCAGGATCACCTTCACACTGGGCGGGGACGAGAACAGGGTCATGATAGATAGAGTGCTGTCCAATGAGCAGCAGGCTAGGAGGTGCTTGTCATCGTTAGCAAACTGCAGCCGTGGAACTAGAGGAGAAGAGGGAACCCAACAAAACATGAGAATAAGACACAGAAATACTCAGTCCTTGCATTGATATCTTTCCATCACATACTGTCCTTTCCACTCACCTGCAGCATCCACGTGTTGGTCAAATATGTGGTGCATGCCAGCAAAAGCATAGTTCTCACTCAGAGTGGTGTCCCCGGCCATGGCACGGCTAGCCTCTGCCACAGAGGTTGGCACCAAGGCACCTGGAGGCCTGTAGGCACAAACAAACTAACGTTTCTAATCAGGAAGAATAATTTATTACACATTTGACCATCACTCAATGAAATGCTGTGCTTATAAACATGAAACAATCCAGTGTTTCAAAAGAAAAGAGACTAAAGGATGAATGGGATCAGTAAGGAGTGGCTGGGGTTACCTCTCATCGTAGACTGCCCTGTTCATCTGGGCCTTTACCTGGTAGGAGCCTCTGCTCACCGATCGACGGTGACCACGAGCCCCCTGAGCACGGGGGTCCTCCTCAAAGTCCTGTCAAGAAAGAGGGTGGGATAATGAGCAAGAGAACCTAATGGAGTGAGTGCAAGCAGTGAGAGATTTACAGGCCATATCAAAACAATCATCTTCTGAGTCTGCCTACGTTTGTCTTTCTCCCTCCATCTCAATTTACCTTGACGGCATCTCATCTCAGTCTAATCTTGACTGTTCAAACTACTTATTGACAGTATTCTGTTTCTGACCATCTCGCTCTCGCTCTCCCTTCCTCTCAGTCTCTGAGTCTAACCTCCATGCGGTCCAATGTGGTGCGGGAGCTGCGCACACTGCTGGCCCTGAAGCTGCTCTGCTCAGACAGGGGCCCGTAGCGCATGCCCAGCAGCTGGCTGCGCAGCCTCAGGTAATGTCTGCGCAGCCCCGGCTCAAAGCCACACTTGGCGTTCTCCCTGAGCAGCTGGCTGCGCCGGCGAATGTATTGCGTGCGGAACTGTGGGAACGTAGGTGTGCGGTAAGCATTGTACCTGTGAAGGGATCGCGGGAAGGGGGTAAAGAGAGCGAGAGAGAGAGACAGACAACAGTTATTAGCAACAGTAGGATCTGTGAATGGTAATTTCTCACTTTGTACCTTTCTTTAGATCGTTTTGCTTGAACTGAGAACTGCTGTATAAGTATTAGGCCTACTATTCACTAATACAAACATGCTGACAGCAGTTTTACTACAATCAATGCCCTTGGCTAGCCTGGTTTAACGAGACTAACAACTGCGATCACCATTGTTTTAGCAGCGGTCAGTCTGGTTTAACCAGGCTAGCCCTAGACAGCAATCTATGCAAGATCTGTATCAGTAGACTTATTTTTATCAGTACTGTGAGGCCATTAAGCCATGCCACCAGTTCTTTAAATGAGACTTACCTTGCATCCACTGCCAACACCTGCTGCCAAACTGCAGCCATTCCACAAACATTCAAGGTAGAGAGGACGCCACGGCCAGGGCAGATGTCAGATCCCTATAAACACATACACAGCACAACTAATTAGAGAATGGTAGGGGAGTAGGCTACATGCAGGCTAATTCAATTTAGCCTCCAGAGTCCAGACAGTGTGTTATTGGCAGGTACAGAACACTGTCGGCTAGATCGGCATTAATCCCGGGATATAGCTTCAGTGGCAAAGAAATTGGGCACAGTGTAATGCAATTTGTGTTCCAGATGGTAGCTACTCTGTCAAAACAGGACAGGTCGCAACAGACACGATCCAGCGATTGACTTCTGCGACTTCTTGACATTAAAAGGGCTGCCCTATTATAACGACAGCTACATTGTTAGTCACAGAATATCAATGACAAAAGACAGAAACGGTGCCGAAATCTTTTATGTAGATGCCACAAAACTAACTTGCTAACCCGCCCAGTCAAAGTCTATGAGAATGCTCACGAACGTCGGCTTCCGAGTGCTTATACTGTGTGAAGAAAGCTATGCTAGCCCTTGATCATGATTCAGTTCCATTACATATACACTATATATACAAAAGTATGTGGACAACCCTTCAAATTAGTGGATTCTGCTATTTCAGACACACCGTTGCTGACATGTGTATAAAATCGAGCACATAGCCACGCAATCTCCAAAGACAAACATTGGCAGTAGAATGGCCTTACTGAAAAGCTAAGTAACATTCAACGTTGGCACCGTCATAGGATGCCACCTTTCCAACAAGTCAATTTGTCAAATTTCTGCACTTTTAAAGCTGCCCCGGTCAACTGTAAGTGCTGTTATTGTGAAGTGGAAATGTCTAGGAGCAACAACGGCTCAGCCGTGAAGTGGTAGGCTAACAGAACGGGACCGACGAGTGCTGAGGTGCGTAAAAATCGTCTGTCCTCTGTTGCAACACTCACTACTGAGTTCCAAACTGCCTCTGGAAGCAACGTCAGCACAAGAACTGTTTGTCGGGAGCTTCATGAAATTGGTTTACATGGCCGAGCAGCTGCACACAAGCCTAAGATCACCATGCACAATGCCAAGCGTCGGCTGGAGTGGTGTAAAGCTCGCCGCCATTGGACTCTGGAACAGTGGAAACGCATTCTCTGGAGTGATGAATCACGCTTCACCATCTGGCAGTCCGATGGACTAATCTGGATTTGATGGATGCCAGGAGAACGCTACCTGGCCCAATGCATAGTGCCAACTGTAAAGTTTGGTGGAAGAGGAATAATAGTCTGGGGCTGTTTTTCATGGTTCGGGCTAGGCCCCTTAGTTCCAGTGAAGGGAAATCTTAAGACTACAGCATACAAAGACATTCTAGACGATTCTGTGCTTCCAACTTTTTGGCAACAGTTTGGGGAAGGCCCTTTCCTGTTTCATTATGACAATGCCCTCGTGCACAAAGCGAGGTCCATACAAAAAGGGTTTGTCGAAATCGGTGTGGAAGAACTTGACTGGCCTGCACAGAGCCTTTACCTCAACCCTATCGAACACCTTTGGGATGAATTGGAACGCCGACCGTGAGCCAGGTATATCGCCCAACATCAGTGCCCGACCTCACTAATGCTATTGTCCCGCAGCAATGTTCCAACATCTACTGGAAAGCCTTCCCAGAAGAGTGGAGGCTGTTATAGCAGCAAAGGGGGGACCAACTCCATATTAATGCCCATGATTTTGGAATGAGATGTTCGACGAGCAGGTGTCCACATACTTTTGGTTATGTAGTGTAAGTCATTGGCAGACTAAATAGCCTTGGTTTCTCAAATGACTGCCTCGCCTGGTTCACCAACTACTTCTCAGATAGAGTTCAATGTGTCAAATCAGAGGGCCTGTTGTCTGGACTCTATTGGGGTGCCACAGGGTTCAATTCTCAGGCCGACTATTCTCTGTGTATATCAATGATGTCGCTCTTGCTGCTGGTGACTCTCAGATCCACCTCTACGCAGACGACACCATTTTGTATACATCTGGCCCTTCATTGGACGCTGTGCTAACAAACCTCCAAACGAGATTCAATGCCATACAACACTCCTTCCATGGCCTCCAACTGCTCTTTAACGCTAGTAAAACTAAATGCATGCTCTTCAATCGAACACTGCTTGCACCCGCCCGCCCAACTAGAATCACTACTCTCGGCGGGTCTGACTTAGAATATGTGGACAACTACAAATACCTAGGTGTCTGGTTAGACCGTAAACTCTCCTTCCAGACTCACATTAAGCATCTCCAATCCAAAGTTATTCCTATTTCGCAACAAAGCCTCCTTCACTCATGCTGCCAAACATGCCCTCGTAAAACTGACTATCCTACCGATCCTTGACTTCGGCGATGTAATTTACAAAATAGCTTCCAACACTCAACTCAGCAAATTGGATGTAGTCTATCACAGTGCCATCCGTTTTGTCACCAAAGCCCCATATACTACCCACCATTGTGACCTGTACGCTCTCGTTGGCTGGCCCTCACTACATATTAGTCGCCAAACCCACTGGCTCCAGGTCATCTATAAATCACTTCTAGGCAAATACCGCCTTATCTTAGATCATCCGTCACCATAGCAACACCCATCCGTAGTATGCGTTCCAGCAGGTATTTCTCACTGGTCATCCCCAAAGCCAACACCTCCTTTGGCCACCATTCCTTCCAGTTCTTTGCTGAAAATGACTGGAACGAACTGCAAAAATCTTTGAAGCTGGAGACACTTATCTCTCTCACTAACTTTAAGCATCAGTTGTCAGAGCAGCTTACCGATCACTGCACCTGTACACAGCCCATCTGTAATTAGCCCACCCAACTACCTCATCCCCATATTGTTATTTAGCTGGTAGAGCACGGCGCTTGTAACGCCAAGGTAGTGGGTTCGATCCCCGGGACCACCCATACACAAAAATGTATGCACGCATGACTAAGTCGCTTTGGATAAAAGCGTCTGCTAAATGGCATATTATTATTATATTATTATTATTATATTATTTACATTGTTATTTATTTTGCTCATTTGCACCCCAGTATCTCTATTTGCACATCATCTTCTGCACATCTATATATACTCCAGTGTTAATACTAAATTGCAATTATTTTGCACTATGGCCTATTTATTGCCTTACCTCCATAACTTACTACATTTGCACACACTGTATATACATTTTCTATTGTGTTATTGACTGTACGTTTTGTTTATTCCATATGTAACTCTGTGTTGTTGTTTTTATCGCACTGGTTTGCTTTATCTTGGCCAGGTCGCAGTTGTAAATGAGAACTTGTTCTCAACTGGCTTGCCTGGTTAAATAAAGGTGAAATAAAATAAATACAAATTGGAAGAAGGCGTCTTCTGTAGGGGGAAGTTTTGTAAAGAGAGCCGCAACGCTTGGTCTGAACATTAACATGCATTGCTTGCCTTAAGTTTTTGAAGCATAAGGACCTTATCTTTCATATCAGCAAGACATAATTTTCAAAAAACAAAAAGGTTAAATTGATACACACCTTTATATGGTTAGGGTTCCCACATGGCCGTATTTGAGCGCTTGTAAAGATGGAAGACCTGTGCTAATTAGCTATCTGCGTCTCGGAACACCTGTGTGTAAAGGACAGACACCACAAATGTGTTGTCACTGAAAAGTACTGTCGCTGTAACTGTGTTAAACCCGATTAAAACACTGTACATACAGTAAGTGTGTATTTTGCATTTGTGAAATTATTTGGATGTGATATGAAAGTAGAGGGTTATGTTTCTAGAACCGCAAATGAGAATCGATTCAAGTTTATATTTGAGAATTTGGTTGTTTTGGCTTCCAGAGGCAATTTGCCCTTTAAAACAGAACATGTAAGGTCCTTGGACTACGGAGTAATGTTAGGCTCCTTTAGTCAAATATTGGGCTAGCTACAGTTGCTTGCTAGCCATGCCTGATGATAACTGGACGCCCCTGTCCTCAAATGCTACTTAGCAGACTGATTTTGTCTATTTCTTCAAAAGCATTTTAAACGACGTCCTTTTCCATAAAAAATGACATTCAACATATAACGAAAACCTCACCGATAGCTCACCTTCCTTCCTTAGCTTTTCGCCAGCGCTGTCAGTGTCAAATCATGTGACACCATTGATCCTGCCCTAGTGCGCAGCTACGCTGACTTGTAAAACATATGGCTGACCCAGCATTACTATGTCTTGACGTAATCAATATGATTTACAAATCAAATAATATGTCTGTACGCCAAAAATGTATGTATGCAGAGTTTGTACAGTCTTTAATAAACCAGGAAACCATGGCAATTAGGGCGTGTTCCCAAATAAATGCATAAGCGTTTTATGTTTTTTGTTGTTATCCATAGTTTTGCTTAGCCCTGTTGTAATTTTCCAATACCCAACATATTCAACATGTATTATATAGTAATGGTTGTATATCAATTACACCTAGTGTAGTTGAATAAAGCTTGCCCAGTTTTCCAATTGTTTTTTACTGGTTCCACTTCTGTATTTCATCACTAGGAGGAGACATTGACCACAACACACAACACCCTGCGAACCAACCTGTATGGTCTACCACACCGTCTCTCATAAGCACCACCATCTGAAGAGAGTTTTCTCCCTAATTGTCTTCCCCGTGCCCTGTATGAACTTGTCCATTTCCTTGTGATTATTCTGAAGAAGGCCATTGAAGGCCGAAACGTCAATCTTTTAAACTTGCTTAAAAAAACTAAGAATTTTAAATGGTGAGCAAGTGTTGCGCCTTTTCCTTTCCAATGATGTTTACACATTTTTAAGTTGCACTTCGACTCACGTTGTTTGAGCACCCTCTACTTCTTTCTAAAAACTAAACCAAAGAAAAACAATATTCTGGATAGCTTATATATTGCCCACTCAGACACTCTTGACACCAGTGGAGACTGCTGAGGAGAGGACGGTTCATGATAATGGCTGGAATGGAGCAAATGGAATGTATTTGATACCATTCCACCCATTCCGCTCCAGCCATTACCACGAGCCCGTCCTCCCAAATTAAGGTGCACCGACCACCTGTGCTTGACAC